TGCTAGACGCCGGGGAGTCACCCTTCACTCCTCCTCCTCTCTGTCCCTCCAGACCCGCCATCGGCAAGACCTACCAACTGGATTTCGGAAACATCTCTCAGATCGATTATCTGCTTCTTTCCATCTCTGCCACCACAATCGAGGACACATCACCCTTTCACTTGGCCCATTACACACCCTCCTCTGTGGTCTCCCTGTATCCGCCCTCGCCATTGAGGGTTTTGAAAACCACAAATTTGATCGTGTCATTCAATACCGATCTCTCTCTCTTCTCCTTCTCACTAGCAAAGCCTGGTGACTTGCTTTGACTAATTGAATTGCTAGAAATAGTCACGTTCCATTCTTCTCTGTCTCTCTCTCACACGTGCGTGCACGTGCGCGCACACACACGCACACAGTTCTTTCCAAAACTCTTAGGATAAAGTCAGAGACCCCCAGCAGAAGTAGTATTTACAGCCTTGCAGAATGGAAAACTCCAGCCACAGCCAGGAAGGCGGTACTGAGGAGGTGACATCTGCCTCGTCCCCGAAAGAACAAACAGGCCCGTGCTGGGTGAAAATGGCGGGGCATGCTGATCAGAGGAAAGCGCGCACGCGGCGGCACAGAGCGCAAGGGGCGACCGCGGATTCGTCTCGTGCAACCAAAACGTTATTTACGGTAATAAAGCAATAGAAACGACAAAGTGCAGCCTAGCAAAGAGTCAATGACGTTGTAACAATGGTGTGTGGAGCCGGGTGGGCACTGGGAACATTAGAGGGAACAGTTTGTAATGATTGTCTGACCACTGAGCTGTGCACCTACAACCAGCACAAAATAATACTGAATGCAAACTGTAATTTAAAAATTTTACAAAGTAAATAAAATCGAGCCTGAGCTGGACCCTGCGATGACAGTGACTCACTGAGAAGTGACCCGGGAGAAGGGAAGCGAGGGACGTAGCCCAGGGCAGGGGAGGGAGCTGAGTGAGGACAAGTTACAGGGTCGGTCTCCCCTCGAGACAAGGGGCCTGGCTTTCCAGACCATCCACCCCCGCCCCCCCCCCCCCCCCGCGCCGGCTCACAGTTTCCATTGGGCAGGGGCCAGCTCCCCAGAGAAGGAGCAGCAGTGAATAGCTGCCCTGGGCAGTGACAGGAAACTGGAGGAGGCACCAACACAACCCACAACACACACCTCCTGTACCCCTCGCAACACCCCCAGGGGCAGGAGTGACTCTCCCCCCTGGACAGGAAGCTGGCGTAACAGACCTAAGGGCTCCTGGCGGGGATGTGGAAGAGCTGGGATTTGAACCCAGGTCTGCTGAGCTCCCAGCCCAGTTCCTTTCCTCTTTACCTTCATCCCAGGAAGAGGGAGACTCTTCCCAGGCCCCATAACCAGGAAATATCAACCCCTGTAACACCTGGGCAGGGTCTGCCCCCAACAGGGGAAGAGCTGACCTCCACCAGCCTTCGCACCCTCAGAAGGTGCTGATGGGCCAGAAGCCATGACTGAGAACCGCGCTGGGTCTCAGACCACCTAGGCAAGTTTAGTACAGAAGAAATGCAAGGTCTAGGGTGGGGGAGGGGTGGGCAAGTGATCATGAGTGTTGTGGAGACTCCCCAGAACCAAACAATGGAGCATGCATTTGCAAAAGAAACTTCAAGCCCAAAAGAGCTGGTTTGAAAGCTTTTAAAAGGCAACACAGTTGGCTGATACATATATATATATATATATATATATATATCTCCATCCATCCTGTAGGGGACCTCTGTCTCAGCTGCAGTTTCTAAACAAAGAACATGAAGTTTCTGGAAGAGCAGGGTTTCAGCATGATGAAAATGGGTGTGCTGGAAGCAAGCATCTCCCAGAAACGGCTCCCGGTGTACGCCCAGAGCTTTGTACATAATAGGTGCTCAGTAAACGTTTGCTGACTGGGTACACCTTATATTTAACTGTATTTATAAACTGCACTTCATGCCACTTAGTTTTTATCCTCTGAATCCTCTATTGGCTACAAGACCTTCATTTTGCCCATATGCTTAGGTCAACCCTTCAGTAATCAGGGCAATGCGTTTCTTGCAGTGGATGAGACCACATACCGTGACAGGGTGTGTGTGTGCAAATGTGCATATGTGAGTTCCAGCAAACACTCCAGGGAACAGTACCGGAAGGAAACATACAGAATTTTTGCCAATAAGAGCTAGAGGCCAGTGGAGTCCCACCAAGCCACTGGGAGCTGTAGGTCCCAGAAGAGTCTCTTATTCTTGCACAAAATTGGCACAAACAACAGGCCACATTTTCCACGTGTGCTAGTTTGTCGAAAGGCCACGGCACTTTGCAGCTCCTCCCATTAACAGGTGGAGTCTATTTCCCCATTCCTTGAATCTATACTGGCCCTACAACTCGCTTTAATGGAGAGATCTTGCTGCTTCTGCTCCCGCTGCTCTGGGACCCCTTCTCCCACTGTGTGAACAACCTCGGGTCAGCCTGCTGGAGGACAAAGGACCATCTGCAGTAGAAGTGAGTCCCCAATGCTAATCAGCCTACAGCTGACCTGGCAGCTTTCTGCTGTCACTTAAATGGTCCTAGCCATTACCGGAAAAGCCACCTGGCTGAACCCAACCAATCTGCCAACCCACGGAATTATAAAGTAGGTGAATATTTATTGTTTTAAGAAACTAAGTTTGGGGGTGCTTGTTATGCAGCAAAAGCTAACTGATACACAGTAAGAAGTCTAGATTTTAATCACTAAATGTGTTCACATCAAGGTTGGCTCACGCCACCGCATGGACTTGGCCAATCTCAGGAGATCTTGGTGTCTTCTTGAGAAAGTTCTAAGTTCAGAAGAGTCTCTGAGTGATGGCACAAGAGACTTGGAAAGACCCTTGTGAGTCCGATCACCTCATTCCACTGTCAGGAAAACTCAAGTCAGAGAAGAGAAGGAGCCACATTCACTCGTTACACAAATATTTCTTGGGTGCCTTCTAGGTGCCAGGCTTTGTGCTGAAATGGGAGACACAACAGGGAGAAAGAGAGACCAGATCCTGCACTCATGGAGATCACAGCCTGGAGTGGAAGTCAGATGCTAACCAAGCCATTACACAAGTGAGCAGATGGCCACTAACAGTGACAAATGTCATGAATTAAACAAACATGGTACCATGAGAAAGAATCACAGGGAGGGGACCTAATTTGGATTTCGTGGTCACCAAGAGCTCTCTGAGGAATGACATGTAGGCTGAAACAAGTTGGTGGCAGCCTTGAGGTGAGAAGGGAACTCCACAAACACGGCAAGGTAACGTGTGCAGCACTGAATCCCAGCCACGCAGGTTCAAATCCCAGCTGCACTGCTCCCTGGATGAGTCCATCAACACCCTCGAGCCCCAGTTGCCTCATTATAAAGTAGGGTTAACAATAACACCTAGTACTCTTTGCGACTGTTGTGAAGATCAGCTGAAATAACCACTGAGAAAAGGACTTTGCAAACTGTCAGGTGTTGGGGGAACAGGTGAGCTTGTTGCTGCTAACAGCGTGCAGTGGGGCAGGGGTGGGAGGAACTTTATTTGACTTGCATGTCCTCTCCAAAGGACTGTGCTCCCCTCTGCCCCGGCCCAGAGCGGACACAGAGTCCCACGGAGTCCCACTGTCCCTCCTTGGTGGAAGCGCAGTGCCAGCACTCTCCCCAGCAGGGCTGGAGCCGAGCCCTCCCCCACCCTCAGTGCTTCTGTGAGCCAGAGCTGATTACGGACAGTTGAATAACTCCGGCGGTCTCTTCCAATGTGGGCGGCATTTCCAGGACCTGGAGTCTGGCCCACCAGTGTCATGCGGATGGGCACAAGCCAGTCAACATGAAGACCGCTGTGCCGCAGCACCATGCTGCTCACACGGCCACAGGCCAGAGAAGGGCACGACGTGGCGGCCCCCGCACGAGCACCCTGCAGCGGCGGGTGGGTGTGTGGCTTCACACCCGCTGGGACTACAGCGCCTCCCCTCATTGGCAGTACTCCCCAAGGGCCGCAGGCCCACATCCTGCTCATCTATGTCCCTCCCAGGACCTGCCGTACAGTAAGACACGTAAATGTCTATGAATGAATAGGCTTCCGTTTCCCCAGCTGGAAAACACTGGGTCTGACCCCAGCCACCCAGCTTGGATCGCCACGACCACCACGGCCACATAGACAGAGTGCGGAGGTCAGCTCCAGGGATGGGCTGGTCCTCCCCTCCCCAAGTTTTTCAGCAGCTCGGAAACTCCTTGGCTCTCCATCCAGCACCCTGAGCTGCTGCCACCCCGCAGGCACCACTGCCTTGGGGAACCATCCTCCAGGTTGGCACAGCCTGCAGTGAGGACCCTGCCCCACATCCCAGCCTGTGGTGAGGACCCCCCCACCCAGGCATCACAGTGTATAATGACGATGCTCCCAGGTGAAAGAACCTTAATTTTTGCAGACCAGGCTCTCAGGGGAAAACCAGACTCCAGATGACCTCTGGGACTCCCAGAGGGCCAGGCTGGGGCTGGGGACAGGGCAGCTGTACCCTGAGATGACTCGCCTCCTTCACCACCAGGGAGGACAGCCATGCCCACAACCCTCTGCAGGAGAGCCCTGCGCACCTTTGCAGGGCACGGGGGTGCCTCCACACCAGCGCATGTCCCCATGGGCGCTGCGTGGTGGCAAGGGGCCGGCAGCACCAGGGAGCATGTGACATCTGCCTTCACTGGTGCCGAAAGTCTCCCCCACCCTGCATGGGGAAGGAGCACAACACAGTTGGAGGGCATCCAGTTTTTAACGATGCCCCTGTAGGTCGACAGTAGCCAGGCAGGTGATTTACGGGGAACACTGTAGTCCTAGTTTGATGGTCCCTTTGAAGGGAATTCAGCTGATACTCTTGGTCGTTCTGAAAGGACAGCGATGGGCCGCGTGCCCGACTCTGCACCCCTCCCACGCCGACCCCAGAAGCAGCTTGGCTCCAGCCAGCCCGAGGCCAGATCCCCCCGCACACACGCTCGGAAAGGACGGGGCACCCACCTGGCTGGCTGATAGGAGCTCTGGGTTGCCGTCACTCATCCCCCCGTAGGCACTGTCACCATCAAACTGGAACAGAGAGAGAGAGGAGAAGCTCTGAATAACATGTGCTCAGGAAGGCCCAGGAGAAGAAGCCGGGGGGCCAGGGGACCGAGTGCACCGAGGGGAAAGGAGAAGCACGGCGGGGCCCAGGAGGCCCAAGTCCCCATCCTGGCAGCAGGAGCAGCCTCGCTCCCTGAGGGTGAGCGTCCTCCAGCACACTCAGGATGAAGCAGGGAAAACCCTTCTGCCCTTTATACATTGTCCACAGGTATGGCGCCCTGCCTTGTCACATACTGAGCTCCCCATCGCTGGAAGTATGCAAATATCTCTCCTGCCCAAAAGGACACCAGGCTGTCAGCTAGAGTTGGGATTCCGCATGACGGAGGGAGGCTGAGCTCTCCAGAGCCCCGGGGTCAGGACAGCCTGCCCTGGCTGTGCCCTCCAGGTCTCACCATCCTAAGTGGCCTTGCCCCTCACGTGTGCCCCGTAGGCCACCCCCGGCCACAGGCAGTGAGGACTGCAGAAACCACGCACAGGAACTACAGTCCTGTGTTCTGAGGCGCTGCCGAGTCTGGAGTCAGAAAGGCTTCTGTGTAAGAGGGAGCGGGTGTAATGGCCGAAGTGTGGGCTCTGGGGACACTGGCTGTCCTTTTCCCTGAAGTGTGATCTTGAGCCAGTGACAGGACTTTTGAGGCTCCTCATCTGTCAGATGAGGATAATGACAGAGGCCCTTCTTCACGAGACGTCGCGCTGACATAAGTGGAGCACGTGGCTCAGCTCCAGGTCGGTCCCTTCCCTGAAGACGGGTGACAGGTTCCCTAGAGGCAGAGCGGAGTCACAAATTCACATGCATGTGGCCCCTGAGAAGTGCTCTCTAGGAACGACCTTACGGGGGGGAGGGACACGGGGCAGGGCTGTGGCAGGAGCTCTGCAGGGATGTGGTCTCTGCCGGAGACTTGTCACAGCCTGATCCCACGGGGAGCTCTGGGCGTGAACTGCACCACAGAGTAAGTTCCCACGGAAGCAAGGGGCCGGCCTTTTGCTTGGCTGTGGGCTGCCCTCAGGAGACGGGGGAGCCATAACTTCTGAGCAGGGCAGCCCGCATCTGACCAAGGACAGCTCCCCCGAGAGTCACGCCAGCTGTGAGCCATGTGCGGCCAGCGCTCACAGCAGGTGGGAGGTGGCTGTGCTAGTGGCCAGTGAGGGATCTGGGCAGGGCACCCACGGCAGCTGGCCATTTTAAGTTTTTTTAGACTATATGTACAGGGTTCAAAATTCCCAAAGTACAGAAAGCAACAGAGTGAAAAATCTCTTCCCGCCCGACCTCCCAGCTATCCACGGCCTCTCTACAGACGCAGTTGCTACGCCTACCAGCTTCTTTTATATCCTTTCAGGGATGGTCTGCATACATACGTGGAATAGCCATTTCTTTTACACAAATGACAGCACGTGATACACACTGTTCTGCACCTTACTTTCCTCCTAGCAACACATCTGGGGAAACCTTTTATATCAGGACATAATTCTGTCTTCCGGCACCTAGTGTTCCGCAAGATGGACGTAACGTGTATCAGGAAGGGGCTGAGCACGTGGTCGCTGAGTTGTTTCCAGTCCCGTGCTATCCCAGCACCACTCCCATGAATGGTTTTCTCCACCCATCATTGCACAGGGGTGTGAGCTCACTGTCGGATTAGCCCGTAAGATTGCGGGGTCCAGCCGTGCGTGCATTTGCAACTTTGATAGACATCGCCAAGCCCCTCTCATGGAAGCTGTGAAAATCCACACTCCCACAATCAGGCACCAGATTGTCCCTTTCACGGCACAAGTGGTTCGTCCAGATCCACTTCACTCAGAGGGGCCCGGTCCGGATGCCAGCCTCCAACCTCTGGGGGCCCTGGGAGCCGCCGCCGCCATTCCCAGGTCCCTGCTCTTCCTTGTTTTTTGCCCTGTAGCCCCCTTTACCTTCTAGCATCTATTTTATTTACCAAGTTCATGGCTTATCATTGGATGCCCCCCCACACTAAAATGGGGGCTCCCAAGCACCTAAAATGGTGCCTGGCACAGACTAGATACTCAATAAATGCTCTGGGTGGGTGGGTGGGTGGGGCCAGCACTGCACCGTTCACATGGTCTTTCCAGGGCTTTCCAGGGTTTCCCGCCGGAGGCAGTGGAGTTAGTGGCCACACCCAAGTGCCCTTCCGGCACAGAGACAGGCAGAATCCTTCACTGACTGCTGCATTAGCAAAAGGCAAGGCTAGGTCACGGCTAGGATCTGGGCACTGACCCCCAAACGCAGGCCTCCGTCTACCACCACACTGCACACCAGGCCTTGTTCAGAGACCACCTCCTCCAGGAGGCCTGCCATGCTGTCACCTCCTCCGGCTTACAACATAGATTGTCTCCATGTCTGTCTTCTGCCGCTGTGTGGGTGTAACGTGGAGGCTGGTGCAGTGTCCTGGCCATCTCCAACCCCCCAGCGCCTGACATGGGCTGGCATCAGGAATGGGATGGTGAGATGGGCGGGGTGGGGAGCTTTCAACGAAAGCTCCTGGGCACTACTTGACGTGGATTGCTTTGATAAAAGTGAAACTTAGGGAAGAAAACCACACATAGTTGGTAAGTACGTTCGAAAAGAAAGAATGGCTGAAACGGTGGGGGATGAAGTTTAACCAGGTGTTTGAAACATCTGATAGAGCCATAGTAATCAAACGGTATGGTGTGGGTTAAAAACATGGGAGCACACGTGTGTCAAGGGAGAAAAGGGAAAGATGGCCCCCAAAGCCCTGTGTCAGAGCCCACTTATTCAACCTTGGCCGGAACGGAGCCAGCAGGAAGGGAGGGGTGCTGTGCGCTTTCTCCCCGCAATGCACACAGCCGGCGCTCAACAAGTGCACACAGCGGGCGCTCAACAAATGCACACAGTGGGCACTCGCCTGGCGGACGGGTGAATGACGGTACCCAGCACTGAAAACACTCTCTGTCAGTAAAAGAGCGCCTGTAAACCTCACAACAACCTGCAGAAACAGGTACGGTTTTCCCTGCTGAAAACCAGGGACATTGGTCGGAAGGACCAGCAGCTGCCCAGGGCGGCCCAGTTGGGGAGAGACTGGGCTTCCGAGGGGCCCGTTCGCCTCCTCGGCTTGGTCTCCTGGCTGAAAGCCCCCTGACAGCGGGCATCAGGGCTTGGCTACACCGCACACTGTATAACCAATAATTAGCTTGGCCCTGGCACATACTAGGTGTTTGAAGCGTACGTGTTAGTGGTTCGGGGAGGGAGGCCTTTCCCGCAGTGAGCAGTGGGGATGGCACTGGGGACGTAAGGAAAGAGACTCTGCATTTGATGTGTGTGTGCTGAGGGTAGGGAGGGGTCGGGCGGTGGGTCCCCACCGGCATCACCAGAGCCTGCTTCCAGGGGGCTTATTCCTTCAGTCAGTTGTCCATTTGACCCAGAGACAGCTGCCACGTGCAGGAGCAACGCTTGTCAAATGCTCCTGCTGTCGAGGAGGTCCCTGAGAAGCTGGTGGCAGTTCTCAAGGCTGGGCCTGGGCCAGCCTCCATATGCTTATCCCAGGTGCCTGGCTGGGCCCTGGGAGCACTCGGGGCTCGAGTCCTGGCTACTGAGTAGCCGCAGACAGAACCCCTGAGGTGCAGGGGCATCTGCTCTCTGCCTACTTCTGTCTAGGGTTCCACCCCATCAGAGCCCTTGGAGCGGGGAAGAAAGGAGGGAGAGAGGGGCACCCTGAGGGCTTCCAGGCTCCCCCTGGGGTAGCCTCCAGGGCACCAAGGCCTGGGGCTTCCCCTCAGCCCTCATCTGGAAGGGCCCTTTCTGGAGGAGAGAACTTACAGGCGAAGGGGAGATGTCACTAAGCCAGCCCGTGAGCTCCGCCACAGCAGAGCCGCCTCCTTCTCCGTGAGCGCAGACACGAGTGAAATGCCCACATCAACGCCCACGGCACAATGGATGCTGAGAGCGTATGCAGGTGCAAAGACATATGACACACGCAGTGTGCCCAGGCATGGTGACCACACATGCACCACAAACCAGTGCAGACCCATGTCACACACAACACAGCATTCAAGACAGCGCTCAGTCACACAGGTACCACATCCAGGGGTCGCCCAGACCGACGCAAACAAGTGTGTCCACAGCCCGAGCATGAACAGGCACATATCATAGGCCTGGCTGCACAATACACACAGCGTGCACACAGGTGGAGAGTGGAGGGGAGGCCCAGGTGTGTATCAATACACCATCTGCAGCTGTGTAAATGTGACTCGCATCAATGCACGCACAAACACCTATGGCGAGAGCCCATGGAGACCTGCAACGCAAAAGGTGCTCGTGAGCTCGGATTCTGTGCGTGGCTCATGGTTAATCAGTCCCCCCATCAGAAACCTTTCTTCCCACCACACAACCTTCCGTGCGCTTTAAAACGTGAAAAGAAAAATGCGGGGGGGAAACAACGGCCTAAGAATTTCCATGAAACGCCAGAACATCCTCTTACCACTGACTGGAATAGATTAATTTTCCCCGTTTCATATTCTAATTATAATTCCTTTTCCCATTGCCATCTTCGGTCCTCATTACAGCTGGAAGATTGTTCTGCAGGAGCCAGGCCTTCATCTTCTCTTCCCAAGAGTTTTGTCATGGAAATGAGTTTTGGAATCTGAAAGAACTCACATTTTTGCAAACATCGAACGTGTGGGGATAACCCTTTCGTGACGGCCACCAGGGACTCAGTTCACAGAGACTTCTAAGGGGGCTGTCATTCCCCATGCTCTGTGGTCCCCTTGGCCACAGGGGCTCCTCGCCACTATTTCAAAAGCACCCCCCACCCTAGAGCCTTCTTTATCTTTTAAAAAATATTTACTTATTTATTTTTAGAGAGAGGGGAAGGGAGGGAGAAAGAGAAGGAGAGAAACATCAGTGTGTGGTTGCCGCTTGCGTGCCCCCTACTGGGGACCTGACCCACAACCCAGGCATGTGCCCTTTCTGGGAATCGAACCAGCGACCCTTCAGTTCGCAG